AGACGAATTACCTATGGAATAGGGTGTATATGGGGGATGCCCTCTCTGTCCCCTTTATAGTCTCTTGCATAAATCTAATGCCAAATGTCATCAAGCATATCCTGTGTTGAAGTATGGTCTCCTTTTGAGGTTAAGTATAGATGGTTTTCACAGTGACGTCATCAAATTTTAAAGTCAAAATAGCGAGGTTTTACGAATTCTTATTTACACTAGGTTGAAGGTTTCCAGTCCCGTAGCATGTTTCATTTTGAAAATACAGCAATTTGAACTTCGGAGTTTTCACAGTGCGTAACACCAAAATAGGAATGCTGTCTCGTTGAAAAAAAAGTGTCTCTTCTGATTTTCAGCGGTATAACCATTTCAAGTATTAGAAGATATGTTTATGTGCACGTATGCTAGTTCTCGAGAAAAAACAAAGAGCTTTTACAAAAAAAGTGAACTCCAGATTTTTTTGTTGTTTTCCGGCGGCCATATTGGTGCACCAAAACGGTGCACCGATATGGCGTCTCCATACAAAGCTCTACAAAGGTGCGTGAAACTTTTCGGCAAATAATTCAGAAACTGTGAGCCACAAAGACCTGAGACTTGGACAAATTGTTTATATATTAGTCTTTTATAACATTTCATTTTCTTTGCTTCTTCCACTGGACGGTTTCCAATTTCTTTTTTTGTTGCGTGAAAGTGAAAACTATCTATAGCCATATCCGCGGTCAGGTTGGTCTCAGCAATTAAATCTCAACTTCGTTCCCGAGGGTAATTCGCTTTATTCGAGTGTGTGGAGGATGTTCGACGTCATAACCGAATTTGCCGAGGCTGTTCAATTCTAATTCTTTCAACAAGAAAACCCGCTTCTTTTATATGCAAGAAGGAAGAAGTGAACCAACCAGCTCAGGCAATTTTGCACCACCAGGATGCCATTTTTCATGAAGGGGCGTGATCTTGAATGTAATTTCTTATGTTTGAATGGTCAGGTTTTACATAAAAGTTTCGTAAACTTGTGCACGGTTTACTGGGGATAAAGAAAAACTGTAACCAAATAAGGCGCAATCAGTAAATTCGACTGAGGTTAACTTGTTTATTGTGTTCTCTATTCTCGCATTCACTCAAAAGGCATCAGGTTATAAAAGGAGCTACTCTGCCGAGTTAGACGGAAAACCTTATTTTTTGGACCAAACGTGCGCTATGATTGGTTCAATTAACAAAGCTCTGCCATCCAAGGTCTAGTCCCTAGTCCATCACAGTATCAGGCAATCAAAAATCAAATGGAAATTGCCTGCATATGTCTACAGCAACGAAACAATAACAAAGTGTCCGACAATATAAGAACCCTGGGGGAACGCACATATAAAAGTGACAAGGATCTCGTCGGAAAATTAAAATTAAACCTCTTAGGGAGACCAATGTGGGTGTGGTTCAAGCTTAAACTGACCCCTAAAAGAGACCATACTAAAACAGACATCACGGTATTTTTTGTACATTTACTTATGCACGGCCCTAAGCGATACCCGAATGCACAAATATCGTGACGTTGTGTCCCAAACATCTTAAGTGAGACCGGGGGGGAAGGTAACTCCATTGTTTTCCACATAAGTTTCTTGACCCACTCCGCCTGCCAGTATGACTTCACATAGTAACGGGCAAGAGCCTCAGGTCGCTTGTGCAAATTAGCAAGAGATACGACAGTTATTTGGACGAGCGAGGTCGAGGAAAAGCTAAGAAGCTAGCAAATATCGCGATATATCGCTTATTTAATCGAATGTGTGTGATCTTTGGTGTTGCTATAATCTGCTTGTGTAAACCGTTTTGATATTTTGTGTCCGTGATTGTATAATTTTGTTAATTTATTTTGCAGGCCGTGTTGCGGGATCGCCATCTATTTCATGGGACAAGCGAGGTCACCAAAACTTAATTTTTTTTTCTTTAAAATAGGCAAGGTCTAGTCTCCAGAATAGGAGGTTCCATTCACAGATCACGCATCTTTATATTTCATCCATTCTTTTGCTAATTAAATGGGCCTAACTTCATATCATTCCTTTCGAGTGTGGGCCTCTGTTGTTCTCCTAATTCTCCACCAAATTCAGTAAAGCTAGTTCGATCGATTATCTACATCGAGTCGGCCAGTTGAACCCGAAATAATGCGAAATAGCTTTGAAATACGCGCTTAAGCTAATTTTTCTCAAATGTATATTTGAATTCATGATAAAAACAGCTCCACCAGCTTCAAACAGCGTCTATAGCAGAGAAAAATTGTTTGATATAGCAAAATTAATTTTTTAACTCATGTGTGTCACTGTGGTGCAGTGGTCAAGGAGTTTCTTGCACGTGCAGATAAACCGGGTTCGGGTTCCGGGTTTTCTGTTATACTTTAAGGTGACTCGACCCAGTTTTTTTTGGGGGGGTACCATCCTACTTTGAAGCTCTCTGGTATCCCCACCTTTACTTTTATCGTAAGTCTAACACATAGAATGGATAACATATAGATCAATCTACAATATAACATAAAATTTTTGGCGATCGGAGTAAATGTCACGTGGTTATAATGCCACGCCCCTTTGAGGTCTGAGTCGAAAATCTGCTGTTGCC